CCCCCCCGGGGGGGGGGCCGGGGGGGGGGGGGACCCCAGGCAGAGGGGCTGAAGTCGGGTGCTGAGGTGAAAGAGGGAGACTGGTGAGGAAAGGGAGGCAGAGGAAGAGCTCAGGGAGGTGCTGGAAAGAGCCAGGGCCAAAAGACAGGCAAGGAACCTGGGGTGGCGGGGTGAAGAAGGTGCTGGGATGGGCAGGTGGGAGCTCCCCACTGTGGGAGCCGCAGGACTAACCTGTGGGGAGACTGGGCAAAGGCTGAGCTCTGGCCCCTACCAGACAACCCTACCAAAACACAGCAGAAATGCAATAGGGGCCCTGCCTGCCCCCTGGGCCTGGCCAGGGGAGCAAGCAAACAGCCCCTCTGCATCTGGGCCCAGTCATCTTCGCACTGAGACTCACTGTTGACTTGGAGTGGAGTTTCCAGCATCAATGAGGAGCCTTTTTAGGTGAAGGGACTAAAGGAGTTTGGCGCGTTCAACCTGACAGAGCAAAACAAGCTAGTAGGGGGCCCAATGGCTGTTGACAAACATACTGGGGGATAAACCCCAAGGAAAGAAAAGACCTGTTTAAACCTAAAAGACTATATTGGCACAAGAATAACTGCATAAAATGAGACACAGTTAGACCCAGAATTAGGAAAAGGTTCCTAATAATCAGAGGCATGAGACTCTGGAACAGCCTTCTAATGGGAGTAGGGACTGGATGACCTAGGAGGTAGCTGTTGAAAAACAGGTTCCTCGAAGCCATGACACCAGTTCAGTGGACAAAAGAGAAACTGCAGAGCAGGTAGCAGCAGAGAAGTAGGTAAGTCAGACCAAGAGGCCAGTGGTGTGTTTCTGGCTCTGCCACTGGCTGTTTGGGTGCTTTTAAGCAGCTTCATCCATTGGTGCTTCAGTGCCTCCAATTAAATGAGGGTAACATCTCTGTCTCTCTCTCACCTAGGTGACTGTGTGAGTTTGGGGAAACAGAAACTTTAAGGGTGGGAATGAAAGTATGAGCCCCCTGATCAGAAGGGATGGGAGGAACAAGCAGCTGTAATTTGGGTATTCACCTTTTGATTATATAGGTACCAGGCCTGTCCACATGGCAAGACATGAACTAGGTCAGGTCATATGTAACTGATTAATTTGGACACTTATAAAGAGTAGCATATGGTTTCAGTGATTCAGTTTTAGAGATTGTGATCCTTGATGTTAAAGGGAGGCAGAAGGGAGTTCTCTAACATTAGGCTTCAGCTGTAAAAAGCAGTTCTTTATCATACAGATGCCTTACTTTAGGAAATAAGACACAGAGCTTTCCCTCACAACAATCACATCACCACAAGCTCTAGTCCTCATCCTTTTATATGAGGCTTTCAAGTGTGCCCCTTGAGTAGTTGGCCCTCTATGGCTGGAAAAGAAAAACAGGTGCTTTCCTAGCACAGCCAGTTTAGGACTGATTGGATTAAAGGAAGCTTTCTCTTGCAGCTGTGAAGAGTTTCCATCCTCTATTATGTTTTTGGCTTCACCTGCTATCTGAGGAGATGGTGCAAACATGCTAATACATACTCTACTCAGATGAATTGCTTCACCTAGTACTGATGTGCAGGTGAAACATGTCAGCTGTTTAACTGTGTTCTGCAAGAAGTGGAGAAAAGTTTGCATGTCCATAACACCGTGCAAAGAAACAGTAAGAACCCAGAATTGAATTTGGTTAGGAATGGAGAGGTAACCTTCTGTAGTGTTCTAAGAGCTCTCTTCTGTTCATAATGCAAACTTATGGGTAAAGGGAAATTGTGGAGTCAAAAGCTGCTTGAATCTGAGAAACAGTTGCCAATTTTGTTTTTTCTTATACCTGCAGAAAGGAGGGTAGAGCAATGTGTGTGCTTAGAAGAACTTTTACAAGCAAGCTCAATGGGAAGCTGTCACTTGGATGAACTTGTTCCTCCGGGTCTCCTTTTCTTTAGTGCACACCACCTTTTAGGATGTAGGTGTCTAAGTGAAAGTAGGAGTCTTGTTGGTGTTTATTAATGTTTATTTGAAAGCCATGCGTCTGTTGCTGATGAAGTACATACAGACTTGTAATAAGAAGGCAAGGAGTTGTCTTTCTGTTCTTTCCTCCTTAGAAATTTGAGCACCCAACTGTGTCTAGTATGGAAGAGTGAAAGGGTTGCATGAATATATTATTTTCCAAAATGTATTAAAGTTTACACAATTGACAAACAAAATATGGTGGATTTAGGTCAGGTGTTTGCTTATCGAATAGATTCCATTCATCTTTGACATTTAATTTAAGCTTCATTTATCTGAGGGCCTGGATAGTGTCAAGTATGCTTTGCATGTATTATGCCTTGTGTTCCATAAAACTGTACTTGTCTGCAGTTATTCTGATATAATTCACAATTGGTGACTTAGGGACAAGAAAACCATGAGACATTCTGAAACTGCCTTTTCCAAATGAGGTATTGAAAAGATGAATTACTGTAGGCATGAGACCCTTACCAGAGCTTTATTAGTTTTGAAATGCAATCAGCGACACTTTTTTAGTCCTTTACTTAATTATCCTCCTTGCTTATAGTATGTACATAGAAATAAGATCCCAGGAACCCATGTTTCATATAGCTAAACCTAATAAAAAATTGGTTTTGGTGTAATTTTCCCCTCCTCTCAATATCTTTCTTTAGTTGTAGGAATCCTTATCCTGGCTGCATACGTAAGAACACATTTGACACACCTGTGGCTTATTTTTATGTATGGGAAAAATAAAAACCATTGCTGCAAAATCTGCACTTGCAGAAGTGTTAGCCCTATATGACCTTTACAGCTGTTTATGGTGTGCAGGGAGATGTTGGTATTCATGAATGTTTTGACATATTTGACATTTTATACATGGTGTGCTGCTTTGTCTGCCTTCCAGATTCTACCCCCCCCTCTTATTTTCTTAGTAAAATGTAGCTGTTGGCAGAGCACTGTGGTTTGTTGCATTGGTATGGATCTGTGAAGAAACTTAAGCTTTATTTTTGTTTTTCAAAATGTACGTGTAGGTAAATAATGGGATTATTGCAATGTAGGATGATGCAAACAAAGGTAGAGCAGTTCATTTGGACAAAAGAGGTGATTTGTTTTCTGTTTCAAAAGAGAAATCTAGTATACAGAAATGCAAAATTTGTAGGCATGGGGTTTCTGCACACTTGAGACTTGGTATAGATGCTATATAGATGTACTGTTCTCGTTGCAGTAAAGCATCAATTAATTATTGATGTTTAATTTCAATATATATTAAGTGTTTGTCAACACTTGAGTCTCAAATATAGCATGTTTTACAAGCTGGGTAGCATGCCAGACCAATGAGTGTCTCTTTTGGTATTAAAGTTCTGATTTGGGATAAAACTCAAGAAGTGCACTCTGGCTAAGTAGGCTTCAAATGGTAAGATTATGTCTGCAGTGTGTATACGGTGTATATATCCTTGTTTTATAAGAAATCAAACCTAGTTTGTATAGGACAAGAAGGCTGATTTGGTACCCAGCATGTTAAAGGAGAATCAATATAATGCTTTGGTCCTTTTACTCTGATACTTAATTTTTATCATACATTATACAAGAATAAAGTCCTATTTGAAAACAAGTAAAAGCATGCTTTTAATCTTTATATATTTTCCCACTTTGAGAAAATATGTTCTAATAAAATAACATTTCTATGTATACAGCACTTTTACATTTTAAGTTTTCTTCCTGGTGAACCTATGTCAGGACTAGAACGCTGCTCCTACAATTCAGTGTTGCAAATATTTAAACAATTGTATTTGTGTGGATATGGTTCTGCATTTATGCAGTTCTTTAGTGCTTGTGAGAAATTCTGGTCTTTCAGCACTGAGGACTTGAAATGCTTTAATGAAATACAGGACTGGTAAGTATAGTCTTTGCTGATTGTTACATATTCTAACAATTAAATGCACAATAGACACTTAATAGAATAGATCTTCAATATGGTTAGTAGACAATTTTATTTAGTTTTCTAAGTAAGACAATCTGTTATTTCTCAAATCATTTACAAAATTAAATGGTGTAATACAGTAACCAAATTGGAGCCTACATGTCACTGAGATTTAGCCATAGTCCAATAATAAACATGTCAGAAATCCACCCCTTGTGAAAGCTTCTGAAAGCTGGTGAGACACATGATATGTCCTAAAGGAACAAATGGTACTTGGTACAGTAGCTACTGAAGTACAACTTGGGCTATTTTGGAGTTGAGTTACAAAATTCAAAGTCGAGGTGCCTTCATGGCTCTGTCCAATGGTGTTTGTCAAGGAACAGTGTTAAGTTCACTTTGATTTAATATCTACATTAATAGTTAAAGTTTGGATTTGAATTTTAGAAATGGTCAAACTTCTTCAAAAAGCTAAAAAAAAAGCAATAAACTTGGCAGTCTATTCAAAGGGCCATCAAAGCTGGATTCTGTTGAATGGAGAAAGGAGAACAAGCTACAGAATTGCCCCCCCGCGGTAATGTTCGATTGTTCGATGTCCATCTGGTTATGCTCAGAATCAGAGATGTTCTCAAGTCGTAATGTGAGGGTAGAAATGGCCTCAGAGATCTTTGGAACCCAAATCTGAGAAGGCTTGACAGATCAAAACCCATGCCCTAAACTGCACCCAGAATCAAACTGGAAAGCAGTATTTTAACAAATGGAAGTTGGTAAGCAGGTGGCCTTGTTCTTCACCAGCTGAACTTTTTGTGCGGTTTAAGATGTAGGCCAAACAGAAGCTGTAATCCACCCTGGCGATGACAAAACGATCAAAAACTATGACTGTACCACAGTTGTGGCTTCATAGGTTACAATGTAGAGTAATTTGTGGTATAGCACCAGTACCAGTGGTATTGTAGGTATCATTGGGTGTGTTAACATGCTCATAAGTAGCTGGCAAACAATTTTAAATGTACATATATGTACATGTGTATTTCTTCAGATGAATATAAAATACTGTGCAAAGTCTCTTGTATGGTAAATCTATAAGAGAGGCTTGGCAGAATGTTCTGCAGGTACATTCAGTAACTATAAAGCACTACTAATCACTTTTTTTTTAAACACCGATGTTGCTAATTCTGTAGGATTATTTTAAATGTTACTCTCTCTAAGATTGTTCCTAACTCTGTAAGGTTTGACATTTTTTTGTCCCAGATATTTCTCCTGTTTTTATCTCCACTTACTTCTTGTCAGCTGCCATGACAGCTCCTTACCTCCAGGTGGAAGGGCAGGTGAGCAGCTTTCTCTGGCAATGATGTCAGGGTTGCTTTATTTCATGCAGTTGCTAGGAGTAGAGGTCTTATGTGCATTTTGGTCTCTACACTCTCCCTGGAGTCTGAATGCATCACTAGTATGACACACTCAGCCTCAGTGGCCTGGGGTCTGGGATCATAAGTCCACCCCCAGTTTGCAATGAAATGCATTGCCTTTCTGTGCCTGGGTTGACTAAGCTAGTCCACTGGAATTAAAGGACCTGTCTGTAAATACATGTTTGGAATGTAACCTCAAATCCTGCTCTTTCTTAACAGACTACTGAAGTACATATTCTAGAGACCAATTTAAAAATTATATGTATTGGTACATTTCCTTAAAGGTTTTGGATAACATTTTCAAAACAGTAAGTTACTAAGCAACTTTAGATTATTTTAAAAATGTTATCCCTCTTTTTATGTGAAATAGGATCTACTGTAACATGAAAACTAGGAATCTGCTTGGCCAATTTTACATGTTGTTCTTGTAAATACCATTTATTGTATCGGGTTTGGCAGTGGCCAGGCATGGACTGAGCCTGAGCCTGTGCTTACTTGCTTGGCTTCTCATACCCATTTTACCTCCTAAAACCTCAGAGTACACTTCAAAGGATCTTGTAGCAGCCCTGGGTGCCTTAGCACCCTGGTTGAGAATTGCTGATTTAAATACACTGACCTGAAAAGTTACATTGGCAATGACATGCATGTAAATATTTCTAGGATTGGACCCTAATTAAAGTATGTGGCACAATGGATAGATTTGTACAGAGATGGGTAATCCCCCAAATAAGTATATTTAATATAGTATGACAAATAAATTTGGTGGGATTATCAATTGCAGAACCAATAGCAAAACATCCCAGATATGCCTCTTGATGAGTTTAAGCTGTACAATGGATTTTTATTTTTAAAAGATTTTATTAAGAGACTACAAATGAACATGGTGCTAATTTCCAAGGTAAAATTTTATGTAATTAAAAGGTGTACTATTTTAAATGCATTATATTTTTGCAATTTAAGAAGAAAAGTGTACATCATCACACTTATCTGTTCCAAATGACTAAGAGAAATAACTATTTTCCTTCCTTGGAGTCCAAGAACAGCAGAGACTTCCTATGCCTGAAGAAGGGTGGTTGCACCCGAAAGCTTGCTAAGAACTTTTTTCCAACTACTCAGTTGGTCTAATAAAAGATATCACATCTGCTCAAAGAACCTTTCCTGCCTATTTTCTAGAGGGTATTTGTTTCCAAACTTGTATTTTAAATGCATTAACAAAGCAAAACTATATAAATCAAGTGGCATAAATGAAGTTGGCTAGTTATAAGAGAAGATGTTGATGTAGAGGTCAAATTAAATAGGATGAGATGATACTTTTTATCACAAATTACAAGCATCATCAGGTCATCCAATTTGCTGATAGTTTGTGGGTTATAGAAAAGATGGTAGCTTCA